CAAATGAAATCAGCAAGGATGAAATTAGTACGGGGGAAAAAATTGCAAGTGAACACGGAATATTTCTGCAGTTCTCAATCGGGGTGCTTCGACCCAGCGAATCGGTGATTGAAGCGGAATTACACGTGTTTCGTTCGAAGCGATTTCTTTCACCGATGAATGCAGAGGAAAACAATGGACTTTATCAGGTATTTAAACAAAGGAATCTTAATTTTTATCATTTACCTGGTCAGCTCTTCGAGCGCGGTTCGTGAAAATGATTTGAATCGAAACTGAGCATCGATTACCAATGCTTCCCGACTAATGGGTGTATCTGTCCAAGTAATAAACTTGGCATGAACTAATGTAGAATGAATTTTTTAGTAAAGAAAAATATGAACTTCACAAGGACCAAGCAATTAGGACACAACATTTGTAAAAGCCACACGTCTTCCATATGAATTCATTATCTTTCCTGAAAAGCTCGTCATACGCTATAGTTTGAGGATCTTTCTTCGCAGGGGCCGATCACTATTTTCCTATATGTTTCAAGTCATTTTAAATGAATTTTCTTTCAAAGTTTGAGAGAAAATGCTCAAATTAAAATTTAGAGATAATTGTCCGCTTTGTTTTTAATGGCTGACTTGAAGCTTGGGCACGATTAATTATCGCCATTCAAGATCAGAAAGAATGAATCAACTATCAATGAGTCTGCGTAGGCAGTTCATCCATTTGTCAAAAGCGACTGTCTCTTATTGATAATGATCATCGCTTGTTCTAGACAAATATGCAGAAATAAATTGTTCGCTATTTCCGATTGATAAGTTACAAATGTAATCAATTCCCCTCCGCCACTGAAACAGTATGATCTGCAGTAGTTATTTTCTTGTTGATATACTGTATATAAGCATTTGGCATCATTTGATTATTCAAGAAATTTTAGCTTCCTTCAACAAAATTCAACCCAAATTTTGACCAAAGCAGGAACATAATTTGATAGAGACGCACTTATTCCCGTGGTCATGTCTTGATCATATCGTAGGTTTCATCCGTTGAATAATCTAATATATAATATTCCATTGCTACAATATACAGTATTTGTTTTCTCAAAGCGGTGTAACTGATCTTCGGGATATTTTAAACCTAGGAAGCGCATCTTTGATTTCATGGATGGGCAACTTTCTTTCGGTTTGCTATACAATATATTATTCAACCGACAAAAAAGAAACAGTAATTAGTTGAACGAAGAATCTATTTCGGAACACTTTTCTTCATTCACATCGCTCGAATCGCAATTCATCCTACAATAACTAAAATGTGTCCTAATTCATGTTCACAGATACACGTTTATGAGCTGCATCATCGAAAGAATACTTCAACTCCGAAAAAATCCCATCTAGTTTCTCACCTGGTGTCTACCAGCAGAGAATCTTCCGGAAATTGGGAAGTTTTCAACATAGGCCACGCTTTGGCTTTAGAAGAGAGTCTTAATTCCCTTTACGATTCGAAAAACCGGGCCGAAATCGAACTTTCAGTCGAGGCAACAACGACAAACGGGAAACCGTTGAAATTGTCTCCAGAAACCGGACGCCATTCAAAGCAACCGTTCCTTGTTTTATACAACATGGACGAAGTATCTACTCGAAGTAAACGATCAACGTCAAGCGAAATCCAGTACCTGAATTCCAGCTCCACGACTACCGAGTCATCTTCGTCCCATTCATCATCAGAAGCCACTGGCATCACTTCCACGATCCCTCTCATCACGGACGAACCGAATACACTTCCAGCACCTACGGAATCTCCGCCACAACCGGAAGATCATGTGAAAACGATGCCTTGTCAACGCTTGCCGCTGTACGTTGACTTCGAGCTCATCGGCTTGGAGAACATAATTTCCCCGCGAGGTTACCAGGCATATTGGTGCCACGGTTCGTGTAGTTACCCGCTAGGCCAAGAGGTGTCACCGTCTAACCACGCAACAGTGCAAAGCTTTGCTCATCACGTTGGATTGAAAAGTTCGTATGGGCCGAAACCGTCCGAGTTACAAAACGAAGAAGCGGAGGAGATCGGTGAAATCACACGATACGCGCAACTGGAGAATATACCCGTCACAGCGCCGTGTTGCGTACCATCTGGCTTGCTGTCGGTGTCGATCTTGTTCT